GCCATCGCTACATTGCTTAGCTATTCGGGCGGAGGCCTCGCTATTAGGTTGGAGACCATTGCTATGGCTACTAGGGCGGAAGCCATCGCTATTAGCTTGGAGGCCATTGCCATGGCTATTAGGGCGGAGGCCATCGCTACATTGCTTAGCTATTAGGGCGGAGGCCTCGCTGTTTGGTTGGAGGCCATTGCTATGGCTATTAGGGCGGAAGCCATCGCTATCAGCTTGGAGGCCATTGCTATGGCTATTAGGGCGGAGGCCATCGCTCCATTGCTTAGCTATTAGGGCGGAGGCCTCGCTATTAGCTTGGAGGCCATTGCTATGGCTATTAGGGCGAAAGCCATCGCTATTAGCTTGGAGGCCATTGCTATGGCTCGTAGGGCGGAAGCCCTCGCTATTAGGTTGGAGGCCATTGCTATGGCTATAGGGCGAAAGCCATCGCTATTAGGTTGGAGGCCATTGCTATGGCTATTAGGGCGGAGGCCATCGCTACATTGCTTAGCGATTAGAGCGGAGGCCTCGCTATTAGGTTGGAGGCCATTGCTATGGCTATTAGGGTTGAGGCCATCGCTTGTAGGTTAGAGGCCATTGCTATTTGGGTGGAGGTCGTCGCTTGTAGGTTGGAGGCCATTGCTACTAGGGCCATCCCTTGTAGGTTGGAGGCCATTGCTATTAGGGTGGAGGCCATTGCTATTAAGTTGGAGGCCATTGCGACTAGGTTGGAGGCCATCGCTACTAGGTTGGAGGCCATTGCTAATAGGGTGGACGCCGGAGGCCATCTTGTGTAGGTTTGAGGCCATTGCTATTAGGGTGGAGGCTATCGCTTGTAGGGTGGAGGCCATCACTTGTAGGTTGGAGGCCATTGCTATTAGGGTGGAGGCCTCGCTTGTAGGTTGGAAGGCTATTAGGGTGGAGGCCATCGCTTGTAGGTTGGGGGCCATCGCTAGTAGGGTGGAGGCCATCGCTAGTAGGTTGGTGGCCATTGCTATCAGGTTGGAGGCCATCGCTTTTTGTAGCAGGGCATTGCTATATATTAGGGTGGAGGCCATTGCTT